CTGAAATGTTCACCTAACAAGGGAACCACCTAAGGTCGAGGTGGCGTTTCGTTATGGGACCAGGGGCGTAGCCAGAAAAAATTTCCCCCGGGGCCCAAAAAATTTTTCCAAATAACTTACGAGATGAACGAGAAAACAGCGCCGCAGGCAAAATTTTTTGAAAAAAAAGTTTTGCGGCTCTACAAATAGCCGTAAAACGTGGAAAAATATGGCGCCGCAGGCACAAAGATTGGTCCTTGAGTTACTGAAAACTTTGAAACGAAAGTTTGATCTATTTCGAATGATCTCTCGCTTTGCACAACTCATTTAATCCGTTGACTGCACTGCTAATTTGTTGAATAAAAGTTGTTTGTTATAAAATGCGCCCAGCACGAAAGTTGAACTAAACGATCAAAGAAGCCCTAGAAAAGCGACTCTCGATTCTCCACCGAAAGTGATTCGGTTTATACATTTATCGGCGGCGTAAGTATTACAGTAATTTGCAAATTGAGATCGGTGCACACAAAAAAAACGGGGTACATTACGCATCTATGAAAAATCATCGAATATTCACTTGGTCTTGGTGATTGTTTTGGTCTTGACGAGTCGCTCGTGTCGTTCATCGGATTCGGTCTCGATCGCATGGATGAGGTAGCCGCGCGCGTAGATTCCGAACCTAAAGTTCAAATGTAATGCAATTCTGTTAGTTTGATTGATTCGTCGACTAGACATTTTGGTGCTTCCGTGTTGAATTTATGATCTATGCCGGCCGAGTAATCGGATAAACTATAGTTGTAATTGTTGTAGTACCTTCCGCTCATTAAAACATGGTAAAAACCTTATTAAAACATCCTAAAGATCTGGTTTTTGATCAGTTTGACCATTTTTCATACATTTTTTACTAAAAGGCAACGTTCTGGAAACAGTTGGATTCTTATTTGGAGGGTTTGCATATACACAAACAGTGTGAAACGCTAACAAGGAAGCACCGAAATTTTGAGTATCCGAGCAAAAGAGGCAACACTGCCCTTCAAACGAAAACATGCATACCTTTCATTCAATGTGAGGGGCTTCCCGTTATAGCGGCTCGCGTGAGAGGGGAGATCGGGCGCGGTACGCTGCAGGAATATTCGTGGCCCCGGACGGGCTCTATCGTGTACTGTTTAATAATTCTGCGGGTCAGGTGGAGGGCGGCTGAAAAAATTAAAAAAGTAACGTCGATATAACGAGGCGTGATGGAAAAATAGAAACCGGGGGCGTATAGCAATACAGAGAACGCGCTTTTCTAATACAGCAACTACCATATTTCCTCTATAGAACCAAAAAAAAAATGAAAGTTGTATTTGAAGCAGAAAACGTTTTTGTATAGGCTTGCTACGGTGCTCCTGAGTGGTTGTGAGCGGTTTGAACGGCTAAAAAAAACGTCGTAATTGCTCAAAATCGCAAAAATCTAGCCCTCCCCTGAATAGAATTGCCGGGGTTCTAGGTATTAGAGGAAATACGATCAGCCAAGGTTGGCCAAAACGATCAAAACGGAGTTTGGGCGCGAAGTTTTCCTTCCCAGCATCTGCCTAGGAAGCGAGAATTACTCTAAATTACGCGCACCAACAAGATATGTCGGCGAAATTGACATAAAACGTCTAAAAAGGACAGAGCAGGTTGCTAACACCTAAAAAGACGGCACAAATGGGTGGATCGTTCGCAAATGGCTTTTGAAAGGAGTGGAAGCGCGGGAAAGGGCAAATGAACACGCCAGTCAATGCCAATTTGAGTGCCTTGAGGTCGGAGACCATGAATTTTGCTGTAGAGTTTTTCGCAACTCGGGGAAAGCAATTTTTGCGCAACACGCGAATTTTGAGCAACTCCCACAAAACGAATTTTGCGCAACTTTTGGTGAAAAAAATATAAAAGGCTTACAAATATGGTTTTTTCATTGCTTTTCGCTGCCGATACAATAAATGAAGGAATGTAAGAGCTAATCGAAGGAAATTTTCAGTTCCGGCGTGCCGAATAACGGTCATTTCGTGAATTTTGGCCTGGCCGCCGGTTTTTGCTAAAATCGTTGATAACAAGAAGTTTCATTGTCAGTCAAGCGTTTTCTATTAAAATAAAATAATGTATTCCATACTTAATGTAAGAAAAATGTAAAGTAGGTTCGAAATCGCTTTTTAGACGATAATCGGCTAGCGTGACATATGGTGTTCGACGAGGTAATGAGGAATATGCCGCGGCAGTGTAGTTTTCTTGACCAGAACGACCTTAGAACAACTATTGAGGCGTTCCTAATAGTTCATTTCACAGAAACAGGTTCAATCACGAACCAGCGGCCATGCGAAATCCACGGGGATAACCATTATTCAACACGCTAGTGTTGGAAATTACTATTTCGATTAGCTCTTACATTCCTGCATTTATTGTATTCCCCGGCAACAATGAAAAAACCATATTTGTAAGCCTTTTATATTTTTCACCAAAAGTTGCGCAAAATTCGTTTTGTGGGTTGCTCAAAATTCGCGTGTTAGCGCAAAATTCGTTTTCCCCGAGTTGCGCAAAATTCGTTGCGCAAAATTCATGGTCCCCGCGGGTCAGCTGCAACGAAAATTTCCTGCAAAACGCACGAGGAAAGAATTCCTCAAAAGAAAATGCTGAAAGATGCACAGAAAAAATGAGTTGGGTTTGCTGCCTATG